TACGGCGCCTCAAAACTGGGACGCACATGAATTAAACTTCTCTTTAACACAATTTTTGTTGTCAGGTGTAAAAAACATTTGAAGTTAACGATTAATTAAATTACGTTTTATGAAATTTTTCTTTAAATCTTTATCATAACTAATATGATAAACTACTGGTTCAAATTGGAAATTTTCAAAAAACGTCGTTATGTTGCGGGAAATGTAGAACAAACTGTAGGAAAATTATTCACGTTTGAAAGTTGCGTTGCGTGTGTTGCGAAAACAAGTTCAAGGTACTTAAAAATATATACTAAAGAATAGTTTGTTTGGTTAAATACTGTCTATAGTTTAGGACTATAAACACTTTAGTTTAAAACGATATATTAGTTAAACTTATTTGAAAAATTTTATAAGTTGGAGGATGTTCTGACGTCAATAAATTCAGCTAGGATCTGTTCCGTCGATTGGTTAAGAATTGACAAGAGCGCTGTCTTCGCGTTTGCTGGTATGCTGTTTATTGGGATCCAGAGTTTTTATGGGATGGTTTGACCGTTTGAGGCCGTCCCCCTATTGTCGGTGTTTTTTGATTTCAATTGCTTCGAAACGTCGGGCCGAAGTTAAAAATAATTTTCAAATAAGTTTAACTAATATATCGCGTAACCGTTAAAGTGTCTTATTTAAAAGTTTGTTTGGTGAAGAGGTCCAAGAGCGACGGGATGCGACCTAGCGTCGTGGATAATTTATAACGGGGAAGAGGAGGTTTACAGAACTATATTTTGATTCCCAAAATGACTATTTTACGCGGACGAAGTCGCTGACATAGCTAGTATTTCATATAGCAAAATAATAACAGTTCCTTATATATATAACAGCTACATTTATAAAAATGATTTCAAACCTCTTATCGATTTCAAATAATAATGATACGTTGTTTGTTATGATCGGTTTTTGCTATGTTGTAACCGATGGCGTCAGAGGAGGCTCTGAGAAGGTTTAACCGGAACTTGGGCAGCAAATATCATAACATCTATGTGTATTTTATAATGTTAGCAGTCTAAGGAAATACCTATATATTATTAGAATATTTTTTCGCCACAGATTCGTCAATTATTTCCATTGAATGGTATAGACGCATTCAGTGCATAGATTTACCATACAAGTGCGTATATAGATCACTGGTAGAGCAACAGCACAGAAAGCGGAGTTCATCGATTCGAGTCCTGCTCGAGTCTATTTTTAAAAATATAAATTTAAATGATACAAGTATTTCTCAAATGTATTTTTAATGTTCCTTAGTTCTAGTTCGTTTACCATACACTAATTTGTTTTTATTCAATCTTTGAGAATTTAAAAAGTAAATAAATATGAAGGCTCGCAAATTATAAGAACTCGTATATTTTTATTATATGATTCATAGGTTTAAGCAATTTCTACATTTATATTTTAGTATGCATACTGTCCGTAGTTTACGAGAAATTGAAAAGTGTGTGGAATCCCGATTCCCTGTGGGGCGTAGGGCGAACACATTTCTGTGTCCGTTTCACTGATCGATTTTATTTACAGGCAAGACTAAAACAATTTAATGTTTCCCCGGGATTCAAACCCAGGAGCACTCGCGCTTAACGCAACGCTTAACCATTTAGCCACAGAGGCGGGCATTGTCATTATCAAGCTTACGAGAGTAGTACACATTTTAATAAAGCACTTATAATGATTTAAAACTGCGCTTTATTTAAATGATATGCATAATAAACTTTAGCAGAATTCCAAAACAACTGCGGAATTCGCGAAATTTGTTTGCGTCCGTCGCGTGTTTAAATCAAAGCTATTTAATAATAAAACTTGATCGAAACGCCGATGGAGAATTAAAAAGCGCTTATTTACATGTCATTTAAGCGTAGTTATATGCAAAATGTCGCTTTCGCGCCTGGTATGAGATAACAAGATAAGGAAAATGTGAATATAATGCAAAGACACGGACGTCTACCTGTTATATAAACATTTAAGCAGGTTTGGTATCTAATTTAGAGATATTCAATGAAACTTGATGCTTTAGCACCATTTATCTGACAGAAACGTCGGGCCGAAGTTAAAAATCATTTTCAAATAAGTTTAACTAATATATCGCTTTTAACCCGTAAAGTGTTTTATTTAAATGTGTACTACTCGCGTAAACTATAGACAGTACCATTTAACTGTTAGAATAATTAATGTATGAATTTGAAGTAAATTCGTTTTTCTTATTGAGGACAGATCAGCTTTGGGCTCACTTAATGGTAGTTGAAGTAGCCCCAAGCCATACTATATCTAAAAAATATTTGAAAATCTACAGGCTAAAACTAACACGCGAATAAACTTCGCGGTTTTATCATTCGTGTACGGTGCTTCAGGATTTCGGAATTTCAATATTCCTACCACCCATGTAATATTCAGATACCAAACGAAGTCGTTCATCTTTAGAAACATTATAAATTAATTAAAAACAAAATAGACCCAGTGCGGATCGAACCCGTTGAGTATTACCCTTACGGGTGTAACACCCATGAATCCGTCAAATAATAAATTAAATGCATCCTTATATTCGATTCTATATTAAGGAGTGCCGTTTTGTGCCTTGCCCGACCACGCACTTCATTGTGATTTCATTCATTGGACTTGGATATTCAGCCAGTTCATTACTAAATATACCTGCTTATGGTCTTTGAGTAGATACATTGTAACACAATAACATTTTCGTGCCCCTAAAGTAATTACATAGACGCTTAACTGACAGACTTGTTCTAGAACTTTCTTCTCGTACAACTTTTTTTCTAAATAAATCTTTTAGGATTCCTGTATTTTCTCAATGGCATAAGTTCCCAGTCTCTATCATCCTTAAGTGTCTTGTCTATGTCTGTCTGTACCCTATACATAAACTCGGTTTCATAATTGTGTGCTATATTTCTTTAAGCTTTGCACTACCTACGCTACAATATTTACCAAGGGTTATCTGGAAGAAATCGGTCTATAGCGATAGGACTGTCTGTTGCACACCACAATTTGTCTTTTATAATAATTGTTACTTTTGTTATCATAAAGAACTGTGTGAGTTACAATGAAGAATGAATAACAAAGTATATTCTCGTCTTAAGAATCGTCACTTGTTGTTTAAGACCACTTTTATTCGCATTAAATATATTACTGTATTCTTAACTGGCTTCAGTGTGGAAAATACCAAATGTTTCTAGCTTAAAAGAAAAAATAGACGTAAGTATTTCCACTTATTCTTAATGTGTATTTGACGAGCGTTGCTTAAATGTATTTGAAAATCCTTGTCTGATTTTTAAATGTAATAATAGATGCCATCTGGGTAATCTGGACGTTGAATGGACTTCGTTCTGATCACGAACCACCGTCCGGTAGATGGAAAAGCGGTATATCCCATCTATGTCACCCTCTGTCATAAAATCAACATTTTCTTTCAAATTATTTTAATTAATCTTCAAATCCAACTCTTACAACCTTTAAAATTAACATTTATGACCGTATGATAGACATACGACCAAAATAAAATCAGTAATACATATAATAAATATACATAATAAATATACATAATAAATGACGATAAAATTTTATTTTTAATTGCTTAATAAAACAATTTTAACGGTTGATAACGAGGTTTTTGCGTGTGGGGAACACGACCATGACCATGACCATGGCTACTGTAAATCGTTTGTTTCATAAGTTTAATAAAATAAGTTAACTAATATATTTAGCGATTTAAATTGTCAGTAATACAATATTTCTATTGTATATATTTTTATTCTAACATGGTTTAACGTGAATGTAAAGGTTAATAAACTTACAAACGTATATAAAATGAAATTGCAATCAATTATTACTGCAACGATCAATACTGTCGGCTAGGCTGGTCGTTGTACTGCTCTGAGTAAACAAAGAAGTGTGTCGCCATTCACGCCATGTCTGCCCAGTGTCCACTAACATTTTTACTTGCACAGCATTGGATAACCAATCCGGTTTACAGCATCTAGAACGAGAGTATGTGCTAGATATGAGTCGCAATTCGGTTGGCGCTACTGCTAACCGACCCACCGAAACCGAACATTCGGATAGAATGTTATTCACAAGAAATTAAATTACACTGTATAATTGTTAATTTAAATATAATAACGAAATTCTTTAGTAGCTTTACATCTTATAAAACTTGTGTAAGTATTTATACTATAAATACTTACACGTTATCTGAGTTTTGTGTGATCTTATTGTACGGGAAAAGGAGAAGAAGGGCATTAGGAGAACATTATATTAAGAATGGTTTAATTTTATTTTATATTCAAGCACACTACCAGTGTACCCGTATACTGTTAATAAAAATTATGATTAGTGTTCTCAGTTCTGTATCTTAATAAATATTTTAAAGCAATAATGAACCGAAATTCGGTTACGATTAAAACCACACTCGGCCTATCTTTAATAAGTGTACGCGTAACAAACGAACCCTCTCCGTACAGTTAAAAGACAAGTAAAAATTCAGGTCGACGAACGCAATGAGTAAAGGGCATTTATACCTGTTGCAGTTCCGCGTTATTATCGGTACAGCAATGTCTTAGTTACAGTGTTTGTTTGAGTTTTCCGTGGAAACGTCACACCCTTTCACCGTTCGCTCTGGACATCCTTGACCGGTGTATCTTCGATGTCCACACCTCGAGCTATGGGTTTTGAATATTGAGCTTATGATTCTTTAGAAGTACCAAGATTGACCAATTAGGGCAATAAATTCAAATATCGAACGCGACGTTCCATTCTAATGACGCATTACGTATCGGGAAAAAATCGCTAGACGCGCCGTACGCGCATTCGCGCTGGCGCTACGCTAAAAGATGCTGTGTTGTTATTTTGAATTAGTTGTTTGACCGCGTCGGCGTGTGGCAGTCCCGTGGATACATCTCGCTGGCGTACACTCTCGCACGTCGCTAATTCACTTTGCGAAGTTGCCTCGTAATTTTCAAATTGGTAAAATGACGGCCACCGGTGCACAGAGTGAGGGGAAGGCCGATGTTTACAAAGAATTGGACAAATTCGGGAAGTTTCAAGTGTTCCAATATATTTTAATATGTTTACCTTTAATGATGGTTTCCATGATTCACGTGAATTATATTTTCGTGGCTGAAGATGTGGACCATAGGTGAGTTTTTTAATTACGTTATTTCTTAGTATTTTCCTTTCTTAGTTGTAATTGTACCTGTGCTATCTTCTATTTAAATAAATTACTTTGGGTTTACAAGCATCTTTTGTTTGGTGTAGTATTAATATTAATTTGTTTTTATTATAATACTAAAAGATAATACTTTGGTTGACACACGTGTAAAAACGAAATCTTTGCTTCCTTTCTTCTGATTCACTGATTAATGAGAAAACACTAATATCATTTCCCCGCTTATCAATAATGCCATTAATGTCATTTTTATCAGAACTATAATTTAGATGTTTTGACTTACTTGATAACTTTCTAGCTATAACGTCATAATGTTATTCGGAATTAAAATGACAACTTTCACTTAAGACAAATTGAAAAAGCAAAATCAATAGAACTAAACATTCATAATTGTTCGACCATTTAATATTTTAGTCTATTATTAAATCATTTAGGTGTAATAAAGCACTTCGCATTGTTATACTTAAGAAATAATAATTAAATAAAGCCTTTGTACAAATGACTCACGTGGACGTAATCGCACCTCATAAAAACAAATTATAGATGAATTTTAATAAAGACGAAAATGGCGTTAGTCATTATAAATAATAGACAATAAGAATTTTATGAGTAAATACTTACCTTTTGTAGTTTAACATTAATTTTTTATCAGTTACAAACCACCAAAACTAATAAAACGTCCATACTTCGTAGCATTTGCTACGGATTTCTGCTACGACTTTTTGAAGGCGTTAGAAATATTTGGATGATGTCCAGTCATACTAATATTATTTATACGACGCATATAAGTAAGACGTGTTCGCATTTCATTATATAATATTATATAGTTTCATAAAAATATATAAGTAAACATTTTGAAACATTTCTTCATATTACCCCCCTTTTTTCCGATTGTGCGGTGAAGTCACCATCTTCATCACAATTCAAATATTTCTTTTATCAATTCTGTAAAATTTATGAATGAAAATGTATCACGAATTACATGTACTGTCGGAATAACACTTAAATGGCGTAAAATTTCAAAACCATTCAATAATTTAAATATGGAACATTGGAACAAACACTTGTGTTTGCACTACGTCATCGAACATAGTGAAAGAACAATGTAATATTCCATTCGTCTTGAATAATCAAGTTTGAAATAAAAATAAACCAGTTGCTAAGCCAATCGAGTTACCAAAGCTCATTTGTAATAAGGGTATAAACTACATATAAGCGGATCTAATAGTACGCCATACTTGTTTATAGCAGTTCTGTGAACTCATACTAAAAGCTTGTTCTTACCTTAACTGCGCTGAGAAACCTGCTACGAGTCGTTATTAATATAACTCTGATTCACAGTCAGCTTTTACTTTCAGTCACAATTTATAAGAAGTTATTTTTAAGACATTATATACCTAAAAACTACACTGAAGCTTGCTTAAAAAAAACAATTATAATTGCCAGTCCAATAGAAAAATGGAGAATCTTTTAAGCAATCTTAATTTTTGCCACAGATACAATATTGTATAATTTCGACATGTTTTTGTTCTTAATTGAACACATTTTTGCATACAGTTAATATTATAACTGTTATTAACGCGCTAAGGATATAAACCCGTAAGTAACGGACGGACACAAAAACACACTTTGCATAGCAATAGCATTGAAGGAAAATAAATGTTTTAACGCTAATTTAGGCTCCAATAATTTATGTAAAAGGCATTAGAAATGATTATCAAACTAAGCTATTTATTACAGCCATTTCAATGTGCAAATAAAAATTCTTTTATCATCGGTTTCAAGACTTATTATTACAAGTATTCTAATGAAGGCCAAATAAACAAATAAAGTTGTTGGCATTTGACACGACCGCAAAATAAATCAAGTACACATAGTGGAGCCTTTTTATTTCTCGCATACGGCTTATTTATAAATAGAAATAAACGAACATTACATCCTTTACAGTTGCGAATTTGTCTAATCTAAGTGTCGTTGCACAAATACATATGATTATGTTAATGGTGTACAGGCGCCGGACAGCGCCGGGCAGCGCCGGGCAGCGCCGGCTCGAGAAATAAACAAATTAATAAGCTATTTAGAGAGAGAGTGTAGTTAAAGGACCAGTCTGTCTGGTTAATACGTGAGCAACATTTATTTAAATTCCAAGCGACTCGTTCAGTGACATACCAACTTGCAGAAGAACTTTATCAATTGAATCTCATTAAAAAGGCTGTTTGCCTTTTATTAATCTACGTACGGTATTATGATCTAATGCTATTTTTGTACGCACAACGATGGTTTTTATTCTTTTATTATTTACGACAGATGATTCTTGCCCGCATTGAATGCGTATATGTGAAATTTATACGTTATATATACTAGTATTTTGAACAATTTTTTTAATTTAGCCCAATCATACATATAATAAGGTTTGAGGTGTATAACTTTCCACATGGGAATGAGGGATTATTTATACTTTCTTACTTTTTTATATCATTTTTTTTATTTGTTATCTGGTTATGGAAATAGAAAAGTGTTCCAAATTTATTCTTACTAATGAATACATGTGTGCAAAAAATATTTGTTTTCTCTGAATCTAACAGAGGCTGTTGAGGTTGTATTGAGAAATCTTCAAAGACAGTTGAATAGAGACTCGTAGAATAGCATAAAACTCAATAAAATGACGGAGCCAAACATTATCAGTTTCCAACTCAGTTTTAAATTCAGTGAGATAAAAATACATATATGTATGAGATATTAACATATTTACAGAGGATCATATTCTTTGAAATCGGTTTTCAAAAGCAACGGTACTCATGATTTTCTTATCAGCTCGAGTTACACTTGCGTACGAACTGGTTGGTATTATACTCCTTTGAATTCTTTTATTTGCTTTATAATTTCGGCGACTGGGTCACATTTGTAGGCTGCTTTCTAAACGATGGCGCGGATTGTAATTTGTCGCCGTTCGTTAGGTGCTCTGTTCGAGATTAAACTAATGTGTCGGATTTACTTGAAAACAAGTAAGAAATCATTTTGAATACCAAACCATTTTTTTTATGTTTTCGCCGATCTAACGTCATCTAAAAGCTAGAAACTAAGTCTTATATTTCTTTAATACGAAAGACATCCATATTATTTCAGTAAAACAAAAATAACGTGTAGAAAAACTTAATTACTCTCAGAAAAATCGGGCCGTAGTTAAAATCATTTTCAAGAAACTGTAACTAATATGTATCGTGTTAAAGTGTTTTATTTAAATGGAATAGAATAGAATGGAAAACATTTATTCGGAAACAACACAAGACATTTAACAAACACAATATAAAAATCATTACAAATAAAATAAAAATTAACTAATTACATATAAAAAATAAAATAGTTGTGTTGGACACAGAATATCAGTATATTCTGTGTCCCCTCTAGAGGCTGAGCTAACACAAGCGAGTTTCACATTGTGTGAATTAAGTACGTTGTACACAAACACTTAACTACAAACAAATTAATTAATTTATAGTGTACATATACATTATAAAAAATTGCTTAACAAAATAGATTACTTACAATTCGTGCACTTACGTTTCTTTATTAGTTTAACATATAGGGATTATATTTCTATGATTTTTCATAAACATATAATACTTGCTTAATACTGTTTTCCATTCCTACCAACATTATATTCTATTTAAATGAAGGAAAACAAAAAAAATGATCAAAAGAGTACCAATAACTTTATATTTATACCTATTCAAGTAATCAACAGATTTTTTGCAAATTATGACTTATTAATAAAGTAACTTTCAGTGAGCGTTTTACACATTCCTATTATAACATTATTTATTTTATCTATATTAGATGTAACATCTTCGAGTTTTATAAATTTATGTCTTGCAGAATGTACAAATGTGTAGGTACTACTCGCGTAAATTTCAGACAGTAGTAACATTATACCAATATATTAAACAACAATACTTGCGACCGCTGCTGTGACTCTTAAATGTTTTTTAATACTCCGTACGTCAAGAACGTGCAATAATTATCATAAATTTGCATTTTTCTGTCAGTATAAAGGATCTTCAATGCGTTGGTCATATTGCGTAAGTACGCGTACTTGTAAAGTACAAGCTTATTAATTGAGGTCAATTTGTGGATGAAAATGCTCTTCTAATAGTTCTAGATTACGATACATCATAGAGGAAGCGGTTGTGTTCACACATATCGTGGGATGCAACTATGTAGAATAAGGCACGAAGAATTTAAATTAATATTTATGAAGATAAGAAATACATAACGTTCATGGAATTAGTTATTGTTAAGTTGAATAGTCACTAAGGATTTAAGATTCTATGTCAAAATATTGGTTTATAACTAAGTGATTAAATATATAGTGTAAATTTAGAAATACACAAAGCTAAACAAGAAAGAGACACGTATTTTGGTTACAAAGCCGAACCGAACAAAGAAATGTAATTGTAGCCTTACTTTTGTATATTATTAGTATGAACTTACAAGAACTCAGACTCGGATTCTTTGTTACGAGTTGGTACGTTCTAATATAAACAGAGTATCAAGTTCAAGCGAGCTGTTCAAAGCATTATTATTATTTGTCTAATTACGCGTATGTTAGTTCGGAGGTATCTAATACTATCGGAATGTTTGCGTCTTTGCGGCTAAAATAGGGGTACACTGGGGGGCATCGGCCTCGGCTTGGATCACCGTAATGTGGGAGCTTGAAGAACTGGACGGATGCTCACCCAAGTGAGGGGTACGCGGGACAAGGGACCTCGGACCTCGATTCTGCGGACGCACGGCGCCTGCGCCGGCGCCGGCGGATCGCGTCGTGACGAGGGTGTCTACGGCTTTGGTTAAGTCGTAGTCAGGGTTAAAAATTTAACCAGCTATTAGTTTCTTTTGAGAATACTAAGACAGGTTTAATGTGAAATAATATTTTTTTTAATATAACGCACTTGTGTTGATACGATATCCAAATTTTGATTCCTGAGGGACACCTCATAGAAAAGGGACAATTAAGTAAAGTTGCATCAAACGCTATCGCTTTTTATATGACATTGATCTCAATCATGAATGAATGCCTCGATTAATGAATATTGATTTTCTATATAACAAAGTATTGGCAGTTCTTCGGACTAGAAACCTCGAGATCATTCAAACCATCTGAATAAATATCGATTAACCCACACATTTTTATGGAAATTAAATGTGTAACTTTTGTAACATGATGAAAAACTATTTATCCTTATGTGGATTCCTTTGTAAATATGTCTATTTAAATAAAACACTTTAACGGTTTAAAACGCGATATATTAGTTAAACTCATTTGAAAATGATTTTTAACTTCGGCCCGACGTTATAACAACAGTTCAAAGAATGAGCAATACAATATGTCTATTGTCATTGCTTATTGCTTCGAAGTAAACACATTTTATTGTCGTCTAATTATCTGTACTTAGATAGAAATAGGTCATGGTAGAGGCAACGATACTTGTGTTTCCAACATCTTGATTCATATTGTATTCGAGGTTTTTGGCAAGCTTTCTATAGGAAATAGAGCACAGGCTAACATTTGAAAACTATCCAAAAATACATTTATTTTTCTTTACAAATCAGGCCGTAACTATTGTAGATATATGGGCACTATCATATAGCCGTACGTCAAGATGAAAAAAACCATACTGCCGAGTAGTACACATTACAATAAAACACTTTAACGGTTTAAAACTCGATATATTTTAGTTAAACTTATTTATACGTATTATTAATTAAGTTACAGGTTTCCCTATCTTCACTATATTATTATTACACACAAATTATCTACTACTATTGATTATCTATTCCATTAAACGTTACTGAATAATGTTGTTGTTCACATTTTTGCAAGTACCCTGAACTAACGTCAAGACAATAATTAAATTATTACCTAACCTTGTCTTCATTTCTTGGAAGTTGCTTGGTATTTGCTCGTTTCGCTCATAAATTACCAAATAAGGATAACAATTTCGAAGAAGATATAATCCGATATTTTAAAGCGCAAACATGTCTTTTTCAATAAATTCCTCGTACTGACCTCGACCTATCACCTTCTAGATGCGACATTATTTAAATTTAATTTGCTCACTAATGATTTATTTCGCAGGTGCCGCGTTCCAGAATGCGAAGATGCTAATCCATCTGTGGAAATACCGAAGTGGTGGCCTCAAAATGTCGACGCCAAATGTTTCCGACCAGTTCTGGACATGCAGCGATACCGGAGATCAAACCAAACGTGTTCAAATAACACGTTCCTTGAAGTATTGGAAGAATGCCACGACTGGGTTTTTGAGAATAATAATTCTATAGTTGCCGCGGTGAGTGTTGACATTTCTTGTGTGACGTCCTGATTTACGAGCTAATAGATACAAGTCATATCAACTGAATTTTAAAGAGTCGATAAAAGAAGACGTTTTATATTCAATGATATTGACACACGCGCTCTTATGGTCGGCGCTAACGAGCCTACAAAAAATACTGCGAAATAGGAAATATGCACTAATTTCCATTTAGTTTTCATTAGACATAAGGAACGAATTAGTTAAAAATAGTTGGGTTTTAGCACCACAAATAGAGTCAAAATATTTTGTAGGCGTTACTTGTTAACGTTTCTATGTCTATACAGAATCTTTCGTAAATGGTTGTGTTAAATCCTGTTTCCGTGATACCAGTGATGGTCAGGTTTATCTGTGGTTGCTACTGAGCTACACCCGATCAAAACTGATATGTTTTCTCAAAATTAAAACCCAGGTCTGCATCTTGTGCATCTGTTGTGCAACGATGTTCAGTCAGTGAGCAACGTCTCCGTTATTGACAATGTTGGCTTTTTAGTCTCAAAAACTTTGATGTTTAGTTACATTAGTTATAAATATTTGTGTTATTTTGAAAGCTTTTCTAGTAGATGACTTCACGTGACAGCCTATCTTGTACACTTTCTAAGTGTTTTTTGTATTGCAACTTGTTTGATTACTGTACTTTCTTAGAACTCAATCAGAACTTTCTGGGTAATTGAAATATTCTAAGAATGCATAGTCGAAACGATACGAGGAAAATTCTTGAGAAAATAGTATTCAATTACGTGTTATGCAAATGACATATTTAAAAACGTACGTCTGCTTAAATCACATTTACGAGAAACGAGCTTTTAAGTTTCGTTTTTCCTTAAACAAAGATTATGTTTAAACTAGATGTGGCCAAAGGTCGAGCGTCATATTTGCGAACATGTACGATAAGAATTTGAATAGCTTTTTTTTACTATTTAAACAGACCGGCAATTACAATCGTTCTTTGAAAGAATTATGTAGCTCGTTGTACTAAGTACTAACGTTTATCTTGTGAACTAGTACCCGATCTCCTTCTAAGAGGTTGTAAAGGTATAAATCTATAACGCTGGCTGGTAACAAATTTATGATTTTTATCTTCTGACTTCCAAGTGTGACGTAAGAATTACTATATGTTAACGACCCAATACTTCATTTTGCGAACGTCGGAAACTGGTTATGGAGTAATTGAAAAACATTTGATAAGAATTATTTAGAAGTGCAAAAAAAAAGTTTATGACCATTAGCGAGATCGGCAAACGTTTATTTGAGCTACGAATTGCTTTATCTAAATAATTTATCGTGCCATTTGACTTGAATACATAATAAAGCCGCTTTTCTTAATATTCCGTGTGATAATTTGATCCTTTTATTTGGGCTTATTAGCATAATAGCAGTGTTACATAAGTAAAATAAGTAAAGTTGACGCGGATCTTTCTAGAAATTAAATATTTGTTTCAAACATCATTAGGCATTAGAGACCATAGTTAGTTTAAATGAAATCGGCCAAGTCCGAGTCTGACTCGAGCACAAAGGCTTCCGTATACAATTTTTTCTCTCTCGATTTCCGAATATCCAAAGCCAAAATATTCGCATCTTGTTTACATGATGAAGAAAGAAATAAAATGGCAATAAACTAAGTTCAAATATCTCTTGTTATAGAAACAGAACTAATTTTTTTTTTAACTTCACTTGTCTAGTTATCGCAGCATTCTTGAGATACAGACAGCATTCAGACAGATGGGGTAGTTGAAGAAGCGTTAAGTTACTGTCTGTAGTTTACGGTAGTAGTACAGATTGAAATAAAACACTTTTAACGGATTACAACGGCCAAATGTTTCTAAAAAATAGTAAATAAGTTAAATATTATCGCGATTTGAACCGTTAAAAATGAATTTTTCTGAAGTAGGATTTTAACTGCATTTACGCATTTTATTTTAGCGACATAATGTATCGAATTTTTTTTTTATTTCATATCGAATTTCGATATCGTTTTGTTAACATTGATGTTTACTGTTAACAGAATAACGAATGAAACAATATAATAATCACATAAAGCAAAGCCAACAAATGCAATTAATTCTAATCACTTATACTAATTATAACTCATTGCTATTAATACGCGTCTTATAAACCCCAATTATATCTAAGAAACTGATAAACAATGTTTTATTTATGTTTGTCATTTCGGAAGTAAATTTCCAAGAAAGATAACTTACAATTACGTGATTCGACTGCGCTATGCGCATCTTAGCTATTAATTCCTTATTACTTAGCTGAGCTAGCTTAGAATCGCTAACTATGTAAAAACAGGTAATATGTCAGTGGGTTTATCAATGTGCATTGGAGTTATTTTAGTAACACAAAGGTCGATGGCTTTGAACTAAAAATAAACGATACAAAGTTGATTGTATCGCTGGCGTACATTCGTGAGAAAGTTGGATAAGTCATGTTTACTTTTGTATTGCGTAATGTCTATTGCATAGCTGTTTCTTAGTTTCCATAAAATAGTGACTAGTTTTATATAAATTGTGACTATTTATTGCTAAAATCGACGATAAGTTGTTTTGGGATTTCGCGGACATTTTGAGCGTTCTTGTTCGCTCATCTAAGAAACGCTTAACATCTATTATGTTATTTATAGCTTAATAAAAGTCAGTATTTTTTTTTAAGTTAAACGGTTTTTAATTTTTTGTGCACAAAAAAACTGAACATTTTGACATAATCATCGTATTTCACTAGTGTAGCCCTTTCATTTGATACCCATATGATAGGAAAAATATGTATTCCGCCATTTTATATCGGCGGCCATCTTAGATTTATAATGTTATTGATTTTATTATATTGTATTGTCATCTAAATTAACCGTGTGTACCAAATTTCAGACCAATCTGATAACAGGAAGGTGCTTAAATTTCAATTTCTAATTTTTACGCAAATAAAAAAATTCCGTACGTGTCGAGCTGAATAAAACCGTTTAAAAATGTTTATTACGTATATATGTCAGTATTGTTCGTGACAAATATATTAGTTGAAATTATATTTATCTATGTCATATGTTTTGCATTAGTTGTGGCCTGTGAGGACTAATAAAAACAAGTATATTTCGTGTTTAAACCGTTGAAAAGTACTTTATTACTGACATACTTTATACCTCATAGACGTTTCTATGTGATGTTCTAGTAAAGTATGTAAATGTATGTCGAGTGTAGTCAATGGAAGTTCCGTAATCGCTTGCCAAACGGTGTATGATCTACCCTTGGTTATATTTGTATACAAATGATAAATAGATGTAACCTTTGTTAAGATATTTTGTTATGATAGAGGAGGACAGACATACATTGATAAAAGGTAAAATACACCAGCCTTATAACATCTCAAAACGATTGTCCTATTTTTGCTTTGGATATTAGGAAACCTACTGACTAAAATCTAGACGCGATTAAACTTCGCAGCGTTTTCATTTGTTAACAGTGATTCATGAACCAAACGAAGTTTCGATATTCCTAACGCCATTAGTACCCAAATTTCCAGACGAAGCCTAATCGTTTCTGAAAAAATATTAACTGAAGCCGAATTTTGTACCCGATAGATAAGGAACCAACGACCCGTTGATTATTAGCCATAAATTATTATCATGGATATAGAGAAATAATTCGAAACAGTTTTAAAACTAAGCATTTGCTATGTTTTATCTTGGAAACAGTTAACATTGCAACGAAGCAATTTCTAAGTTTTCAAAGCACGCTCCCTCCACGTCCTAGTTTTTTGCCCTCTCCCGCGATCTAGTATGACTAGAACTTACAGGTTTATTCCTAGTTTTTTCCACGACTACTAATAGCGTCCCGGGGAGCTAATGTAGTTCTATATTTAGCTTAGACTAAATAAGGCGTTGAATTAATTTACAGCTTAAGAATGGTAAAAAAACGTCCTCTTTTTTCTTAACTTTGTAGGGTTTCAGTAGAATTCTCTCTGTATAAATAAAAATTTTACCCTCGGTTTTTGTGGAAATCAAAATGCCACTAATAAAGGTTTTCCTTCTACGTCAATCAGAAGCCTTAGAAACAACAAGTTTCCAATTTGTTGAATCACTTATTAAAAATGGAGTATTTCTACTTCCATAAAAAAGGCATTACCTATTCTTTGTATTTTTGTTATTTTTATTTTTTTTTTATTATCAATTAGTTTTACCTTATGAAAATTATGGTTCACATTAATTTATAATTATAATATATGCTCCCTTGTCACTGGTTAATCATGCCGATCTTAGATCATGGTCAAAAGTTCGACTCTCAGGTTAAACGAAATCTTCGTTTCAACCGATTCATGAGGATTTAAACGCCAAACCCTACGCTGCTTCGCTTAAGTTACTTGAAAATTTAAATACCAACCCCGTTAGTCATCATCGTATTGAAGAGCACGTTAAACCGTCGGTCTAGATTCCCATCCCCAATTTAGTGGCAGGAGTCATCCACCAGGCACTGAAACAGCTTAGTGAATCTTCACTCCAATCTCCAGTGTCTGACTCGTGGGCACAAATTTTGAAATGTATTTATTAGTAAGAAAAGGATAAAAGATGTATCTTTGAACAAAATTAATTCTCTATTTCCAGTTGAACATGGGTTGCGAGTCATGGAAATCTACACTAGTTGGATGCATCCACAACGCAGGGATGATAGTGTCAATGTTGATAACAGGCTGGATAGCTGATAAGTAAGTAACTTTTTTTTGGTGCACGACATAACCATAGTATTTATTGACTCATCTAATATTAGTTGAGTAACTGAGTTTGGTATTTTGTTTAATAAATAAAATATATGTGGGTAGTTTTGAATTTAAAACATTAACATTTAAAACATGAAGGATGACAACTATCATATTTTTAATACAAACCGCTCCCGTGTTTTGTGGTATTATGGGTTAAAACCCTCGGAAAAAAGAAAAAGTATATTATCTGTATCTGAGCCACTGTTAATCATAAGTGTTTTAAAAAACCTAGTGTTGTTATTTCATATTTTAAACTATTTTGTACGAGTCTAAAGATATTTTAAAACTGCGTAGTTTTTAATTATTATTATCTAGAGCTACACGTCCTTGGGTAATACACGTTCTTATTGTAAATAAAACAGTTTTTAAAATAAATTTGACAATAAACTTAAACTTGCAAAGAACGAGAGATTCTCACCATCTTATTCACGATGTAGAGGAAAATAATACGCATAAAACAGAAATGCTTTTACTCGTAGTATTTATTTTAAATGTACCGGAATATTACAAACTATATGCTTCAAAGACGTCATGCGTCGATATATTATATTTGATATTATAATAATATTTTCAAATCTGCAAACATAATTTGAGAGAAACGATGGGGTCGAGAGTCTGTTGTAAATAAATACATAACATATATTTTGGTTAAAGAACACTCCTCAAATAAAAATTTGAGGAATGTTCTTCATATGTAAATTTGTAAACATGTTCTAGATCTAGATAATATAATCAAATATCTTCTTATTCCCTTAATTGTTTAAAACACTTTTTTGTACTCACGTTGAACCACTTTAACTATACAGAAATGTATAGTATGTTTAAGTGTATGCATATATTATATTAAGCTTCTGTTAAACTTTCAGAATCGGAAGAAAACCCACAATAATAGCGTGCTCAATTGGTGGCACCATAGGATTAGTGAAAATATTCATTACGAATTACTACGCGTATCTGGCTGTGGAATTTCTGGAATCCGTCCTGGCGTCTGGTCTCTATACGGTGGCCGTTGTGTTGTGTAAGTCATCTTCTTTCAAATACTTATTTTGTATACTATCCACCATCTGAGAATGCAAATAATCGGTCAATGAAAACTTGACGAAATTCTTTGTTTATCAATGTGCATGTACTTTTTTCCAGTAATCGAAGTCGGTGGCGAAAGCAAAAGAGTATCAGCAGGAGTTATTTTCTCGTACGCCGTATACGTAGGAGAAGTGTGCTTCGCGTTTATCGCTATGGGACTAAAATACTGGAAGCTACTTATCATCGTAGCTTACTCTCCAATGATTTTATTCATCATGTATATATTCCTACTTCGGGAAAGTACCAGATGGCAGATGTTGAGGGGTAAGATGGATGAAGCTAAAGACACACTGAAGATGATAACAAGGTGTAACAAACTAGAAGTGTCTGAGACAGAAATCTCTGAAACTAGCAACGAAGACCTTCGCTTCCAGTTCAATGTTGTCATTCAAAAAGAGAAGGAAAGAATGAAGGATATTTTGGCATCAAAGGAGATAATGATACGCTTATCTGTGACCTCATTCTGTTTCTTTGCCTCCAGTTTTATATACTATGGCATGGCGGTTCATGCTGTTCTGTTACCAGGGAACAAGTACACCAATTTCGTTTTAGCGGCGCTCTCTTCGTTTCCCGGAGATATGATAGCGTTATTTACATTTAACAGATTCGGAAGAAAAATATCTCTGCAATGTGGATACATTTCATCAGCTGTATTCTTGTTAGCGCAGACGTATACGCCCGATTGTAAGTTAATTTTATGTATACTTAATTAGTTTTCATTTAATTAATAATTTAATAATTGACCACAGTTGTGCCTCAGTTGTACGTTACTTTGTTATGCTTAAGATTTGATAAATGCAACCGTAATACAACACATTGGCAGGGAAACTATCGCACATATTCACAGAGATATGACTAAGCATATATAAAGAAGAAATAAGAATCGTATAATTAAAGATGTTAGAAAGGACCAGATATACATAAGACTCGAACTCGTCAAATTTAATATATTTTTTGTAAACTGTTTATTAATGCATCTCCGGTACGCGATAACTTCGTTGTTTACATTGACTTTACATGTTGTAACGACATGTTTTGATGACTCAATTTTATTTATATGTAAACCTTCTTGTTTCTTGCAGCAATTATGTGGCTGAAGGTAGCTCTCTTCCTGTGTGGAAAACTGGGTGTCGTGGTATGCTTCACCGGAACCTACACGTACACTTTGGAATTATTCCCGACGAGTGTCCGCGGGACCTTAATCGGTTGCGGCAACACTGCTGCAAGATTTGGAAGTATGCTCGCCCCACTCACACCTCTTTTAGTAAGTACCTAAACCACCTATCTCTATCCGTAATACCTCAAATCAAGTACTCAATCGGCGTATCTCCGCCAACTATCAGTCTAGAAGCCTGGTGTCACTGGTCTGAAGTCTACTTGGTTTTGGCAAGTCCATCATTGATAGAAGTCTCAACCTCCATGGTTACTCTTGACAAGAAGTCTTTGGCGATTTTCTTTCTCTGAAGGCGTTCTGCTGGGCATCGCGAGGTTACCAAATTTGCAGCAAGTCTAAGCCAGCTTCATTTAAAGTAGGTTTTTCTACCAGTGACGAATGTCTCGTCAAATTATTTTTTAACGCCGTTAACCATTTTATTAATATGGTAAGTATTACGCTAACCATTCATTAACAGCCTGTTTTTGATCGTGCTGTCATTGTTTCCTCGTTTGAAAATTTTCCATAAGGTCAAAAGAGAAATAAAGCATGTGAAAATTAATAATAACAAACATGTACTTACGTCTTCCCATAAATTAACGTTAATTGCATGTTCTTGAAACTTTGGACAAAAGATTGTTATTTGTTACAATTAAATATAATTAATGTCGCGTTGGACATGATATTGATGGCAGAAATGACTCGAATTTAGAGCAATAACAATGCAACATTATTTGTGAATGCTAATGGATTATCTTGTTTACAGTCAGCGGAGATGGCGACCCTGCCGTCAATACTCTTCGCTGCAGTCGCTATAATAGCTGCAGCCTTCCTCACCTTCACTCCAGAGACCAAGACTTTACCAATGTTCGATACAATAGCTCAAATCGAGAGTCACAAATCCAAAGTTATGACACATTTATAAGCGACTAGGCTATTGCCCAATAGATTTAATGTATTGTTTTCGCGATTCAAAATGGTGTTGAAATAAAAAAAACCTAACGAATATTTCAAAATGGGTGCTGATTAATAAATAGGGAGTACATTTCTCAAAATTAATAAAGCCTTATCTAAGTATCGAAATTAACAATCAATCTTCCTTTTGATATAAAATATCGATTTAGAGATATGAGTGTCTTAGATGGGAACTTTATTACTTTTGGTTGTCTGAAAGATATTTCATTTGTCAAAAAGTAGGACAGATCTCTCTCTAGGTTATATGAAAATGTCTGCCAGTAAATATAGGTACTACTTAGCAATGATGTCTTTTGAGGAAGGATCGTTATTAAATGCGCATTTTTATAGGCAACCTCGGAAAAAAATTGTTAAAACAATTGACAATATCTACCATTATTTATTATGTAAACAAAATATATGACTACTAAAGCTGATTCGAATATATAGTAATATCGGCTGGAATTGTCCTTTTTTGTAGTGTACTACCGCCATACTAAATATTTAGACAATAAATAGGTACTTATTAAGAATTGCTACAATGAAATTTATATAATTCTTTTATTTAATTTTGAAAGGTTATTTATTAAAAATTATTGTTCGGCTACTTGCAGTTCTCAACTTCTCATACAGCTGAATTCAGTAAGTTAACTAAGAGAAGTACGTATAAAACATATTTTTATCGTATATCACGAAAATATAGAACAATCACAGAAATATGTTACGATTAAAAATATTGAATTTATATTGGTTATCATGTTAAAATGAAATAAAATGCAATCCGATCAACCACTAGTAGGGCTTAAAACTTAAATTTATTTATTTCATTAAAGTTCGGAATGTACTTATAGATATTACCGTTTCCGTATTTTATTTAGTAGATCACATTTTTTTTTAAATATACATAGAATAATAATAACTTAATAGGTATAGATAGGGAACGATAACGAAGCGTTTTACTTAGTTATATACTGCACATAGATTATAAGGATAGGATACATAGGAATTAAATAGTAATTTAAGATAATGTTAAAAATGTATGTTACTATTAAGTACTTAAAATATATAAGTTCACGACGATTATTGAAGATTATATTGTAATGATAATTACTAATACGTAAGATAAAAGATGCCATCCTGCCTTACTCTTTTATTCTGGTGAACCAAAGGGACCAACATCGAACCTAATTTATTTATAAGACTGTAAATATTTATTCGTTATTTATACGTAATATGATGAAAATATAGTTCTAATCGAGTTTTAGTATCGTTTTTGATTTTTAGAATTTAACATTGGAACAAGGTTTGTATATGGTATCGACGAAATAATTTCTTTCAAAATATATAGTCTCGATAGTAATAAGCAATAATACCGAAAGTACTACTTTATAAACTACTACTACTACAATAATTAGTTTTTTGTTTGCACTAACTTTATATTAAAAACAAGGTAACAAACAAAGCCTTCTTCGTCCATTGTAAATATAAAACAATAGGTTTCTTAGTGTTCGCAAAACATACATTTTTGGAGAATGCTTTAAGGTCAATTTAAATGAAAAAAATTCTTTGTCAGACTAAAATATTGAAATTTTAAAACAACAGACGTAGACACGCAATCAACAACAAAATTCAACTCTTGTATCGTGCGTCATAATCAAGTAATTGATGTGATATTTATGTAATATGATCACCTCTCTGGCATTACAATACAGTTTAAAATAGTTGATTATTCAATATTAATGAACTTTCCGGGTTTTAACGCGAGCTGACATTTTGGAATGTAAATCTTGCGTGAGATATAAAAGATGGACGCTTGTCATAACTTATTAAATTTTATTTGTAATAGGATTGGCACGAGGGAAGTAATTTGACATGCGGAAATTACTGTACCTACCATTATAGACTAAAAACATATGGCAAATTTAAAACCTAATAAAACAATAGTATCTCCTATATTCATTGCTCCATACCTAACTATCCAAGAGCTACATAAGACTAGATAGATACTTACGACTTACTAAAAGCAACAGATTTATAGAAAAAAATATATTTTTATAAATATATAAGTATAGCAATATATTATAATTTATATACCTATTTTTTTTAAACACTAGAATAATATAATGATTATATTATTATGCACCAATGTGGAACGTGTGTCCCTACATTAATGAGCCAGAATTCAAGCGATTTTAATGAGGTGCTTATCACGAAAAAATACCTTGTTTTAGTGGTTTTTAGAGATTTTCAGTTTTCGCTGGTAATTTTGTCAACATTTGTTATCGGGCAATTCTCTGTGGTCAAAAAGTGTTAATTAACAAAAATTATGATGTTTGACATAAGTTAGTGAACATTGTCAAGATGACATATGTTATTGGCTGTCACAACTCTTATGCCAGTTACACATGTGACGATCAATAATAATAACCTCTAGGCTTTAAAGTCTTAACTCTACACCCACGGAAGGATTTTCAGATGGTAAAAAATATTAAAAGATTGTAATATCGTGAAGCTATAATACAGCATTGTTATGTTTTAAGATAAGTTAACAATGATGGCGGGTTACGAGGTGCGAATAACAAATGGCAAGAAGGTACTTATAGGTTGAATTAGTATTTGTACTTTAATTTAAATAGAATCGTTACTCAATATTAAAAATTACTTATTAAAGGGTAAAGGGCTTTTTGCCAAGAAGATATTTAACGAAGGTGATGTAATATTGGAGGAAGATCCATTAGTATCATGTCAATTTGCTTGGAACGTGGCGTACCGGTATTTAGCATGTGATCATTGTATGAAGTAAGTAATTTCTGTTTTATGCATTGTATATTTTTTTATCTTACAACTTATGCTAGAAGTTGAAACAAAACTGCTCTATTTATCTCTTAATATGCAGCATCTAGAGAATTTACATACACATTACTTATATGTTCCTAAAGAATTCTAAGAAGAAGACTATTTTCTCCTTGATATTTGCTTGCTAGTAGTTATATTGTCTATTGTATTGTAAATCATTTTTTCATGTTTGTAATAATCGTGTTTCATTTGGAAATGGTCTAAAGATATTGCAATTACCAATTTTTTTTTAATATTATTAAAATTTTTTGTATATTCATATATCTAATTCCTGTTGATCATTTTCTTATTTTACAGGCCTTTAGAAACACCAGAACATAATGTAAGAAGACTAGCCGCTAAACCTGACATTGCTTTGCCATATGCAGATCATTTTGAAGAGGAATTAATGACTGTTACCAGTTGTGATCAATGCAGGATATTATATTGTTCAGAAGACTGTAAGGAGAAGGCTAAAATTAATTATCACAGATTATTATGTTACGATCAGACAGATGCAGGACATCCTATTCATATATTATTAGAAGCTTGGAAGTAAGTACAGTTTTAAACTCCTATTATAAATATAGGAAGGAGGCCATCAGAATAACAAATAGTTCCGTTATTTTCGTTCAAGGTAACCATTTAGTACTTACTATCTTAGGATTACAAAAAAATAAATACATTAAAACCATTGTTTTTTGCATTAAAACCATTTCATGGTATGGACCATGTCCACAATAGTCCTGCTCTAAATAGTTGAGCTACCAAAATGTTTTCAATTGAAATATATTTTAAATTTACATTACACATAAATCATGCGTAATATTGTACAAAATAGAAAAGGATTCAAATAGTTTTTACTTTGAAAGTAATTCAATGAAATTATCGATTTAAAACTTAGCAGTGGGTAAGTATTGTAAGATAATAGTTACAACTCATAAACAGTTCACGTAGGTGTTTAAAAAAAAAAAAGAAATCATGTTGGAACATTTAAATTTTTACAGGCAAATGCACTACCCACCAGAAACAACAAATATAATGTTGCTAGTCAGAATACTAGCATCAATAGAACAACATCCCGACCCTGCTGCAGCAGCTAATACTGTGAAACAGTTTTGCCACAGAACTGTTAATGAAGATGCAGAGTTGATGCACAAATTACTCGGAGATCAGTTTAAAGATCAATTAGCTACATTAAGAGACCTGACAGCTAGTGTCATAAATGAGGAGTCTATTCAAGAGGTTTGTTCTTATAGGTGGATGCCATAACTGGTAGAATACAATATTCTCTAGGCAGGGCATGGTGAAGGCACATTCCTATATGTTTATTCATTTCACACTGCCTTCATGTATTGATAATTGACATTATTTCAGTTTCTAACACCAGAGGGCTTTTGTTCTTTAATGGCACTCCTAGGCACCAATGGCCAAGGAATTGGTACCAGTCCCCTGGCACAATGGGTGAATTCTGTCACAGAGCTAGCTATGTCTGATGATGAGAGGCAACAAATGGATCTCTTTATTGATAAATTATATAAGGATGTGGAAAATGGTAATTATAATTTAAAGATGAATTGTTTCTTTATTAAAAACTTATTTCAATTATGTCTCTTACTATGAAATAATAATGTATAAATAAATAAATGAAATAAATTCACTTTGTGGCTAGATGAAAAAAACAAGTGTTACAGTATTGTGCCTTGTTAAACATACAATGCTGGAATTGTTATTTATTATTAAAATTATTGTTATTTAGTCATATTAAAACAACATTTTAGAAGCAGGACAATTCTTGAACACTGAGGGTTCTGGTCTCTTCAAATTACAAAGTGCATGCAACCACAGCTGCGCACCTAACGCGGAGTCATCATTTCCGTATGGGAACCACAGAATTCAGTTGAAAGCTGTCAAAACAATAATGCCAGGTGATGAAATCTGTATAAGTTATCTCGACGAATGTTCTTTACAACGATCGAGGCATTCTCGGCAAAAGGTATGTCTACTTTTTTTACAGCTAGTTATGACGTCGGGTCTTAGTTCAAAATATTTTCGCCTTGAAACTGCTAAGTGTTTTCTTTAACTGTCTTTCCTCTTACTTTAACTAAGGTACTTAATACTAAACCACGCTCAAAATTGTTATATAAATATATTATTTATTAAGTAGGTAGGGTAGTAGGGTAGGTATTAATAAAAAAATAATAATAATTACTATAAGTTTCTCAGTTTATTCAAATGTTTGTGCTGCTCTTGGGCCCTTATCCAACATGGTTTTTTAAAGTAAATTGACCCAAAAACAAGTCTTTAAATAAATTATTGTGTTATTATTTTTAGGAATTGGCAGAGAATTACCTGTTCTTGTGTGATTGTGAGCGGTGTGTGTCAGAAAGCTGGCAACCCGATGTCACCAGTGAGGAGGAAATGAGTGATGAGGAGTTTGACACGGATGACTGATGTTCCAACTTGCTGGCCTTCTGTTTGCTCGGTCTGTGACACGGACATGAATTCTAGTGGCCAAATTTGAGATATACATTCAGTTGGACTAAAAAGGACTATTCAGGGGACATATGATATAGAAATAGACTTCTCATAACTTTGTGAAATTAACATCATGTTGTCGTAAGTGTCGAAGTGTTCAAGATAAAATGGAAAAATTATTATTGCTTCTCTTAACTAGCTATAACTTTATGTTATCCAAAGTGTTTCATTATTAATGGCAAGTTAATTATATTATGCAAACATTTACCTTTATGTAATTTATATTACAGAAGTATACATATGGTATATTTATATGTTGGCTTTTATGAAACTTAAAATTTTATCTTTGATGTATTTTTATGTAGCTTACTAATATAACGGCCTCATAGATGTTTATTACTATATTCTTTGTAGTATTGAGACTCACCTTCTCTGATTGGATATGACTCTCTCCTTTAATGTTGTAAATAAAAGTGTCTAAGAGTCATTCAATTTATTACAATGTCATTGACAATTGAGAAGTTGGGTTTTAATATTCCTGTAATTAAGAGTAAATGTTTTGCTCTGCAATATGTCAATAATAAAATTTACATCAGATATAAGATGTAAATAATATATATGTATATGTGATAGCAAAGGCCTAAATGTCATTTTATAGTATTTGTTGTATGTAATACTCTTGTTACAATAACATAACACAGTATAGGTGTGAATGTGAATTTTTGAATTTGTTCGCTCAGCAGCTGTTGTTTTAAATAACCTTATATTCAAATGGATAAGTGCCAATTTGTGCAGGTTTAAGAATTTTAAAAATATATTCACTTAAGGAGTTAATATAATACATTATAATGAGTGGCTCATCTAATTTATAGATTTTATAAGGATGTTAAATCTCGCTTTTTCACTTGTTCCCTGTACTTGTGACAATATTCTTAATAACGTAGTTATTATCAAAAAATATTTTACGGTTAGGTGTCTTTTACAGTAGGAAACATACTAACACATTTTAAAGAAATGAGGCCTAAAATTAACGAATCCACCACATACTAATATTTTTACAGAAAGTTGTGTCAGTATACCTATCTATCGGCAGGTTACCGATTATATGTATAAAGTAAGATTGCTTGTGCAGTTTTCACGAGGCTAAATAGTAGGTCTTTGAGACACTCGGCGTCTGCATAAGCGATTTAACGATTAGATTCTAGCAAGAGTCCATACCTTTGTCACCCGTTGTAAAAACTGGAGGCGGAAAGTGGATCTTTAAGTCTGAAAAGAAAAGAGCACTATAATAAGATCAGTTTTGTGCCCGTAAACTACCAAGAGCGTCCTAACATCTGTCATTCCTGTGGCTGGTGGGATGGGTATTGGAATTGGTTCGAGAGCATGAAACTGAATCGACAAGAGACTAACAGACAAACCGTAACAGCAACCTCCGTTTAAATACAATTGCACACAGTCCCCGGCTGTACTTCAGGAATGATCACGGAAGACCAATTCGGTTTGAAATGAGTTCTTCGTGGCTGTGCGGCTTGGGAATGGGGAAGTAATGTCTGGGGGTGTTGCTGCGAAGGTAGGCCCAAGACTGACATTCCACGTAGAGAAAGCTGTGCTGGACGAAGAGTCGTGTTGGTCAAGGAACGTTACTTCCTAGTGATTCCGAACAGGGAGGAAGCGATGACAAGGTCGCTTGACTTGATTCTGGTGACCAGGGAGGCATTCCAATGAGGGCGTCAAGACATGACAGATCTTAATGATATGTAGACGATTAAACAGACTCCACACCGATATGACTAAGTGAAGATGCAAGATGGGTTTGGGTATCAATTGTAAACATAGAAATTCTATTTCTTCTGTAATTAAATGTTACAAATATAAAGTTTATATGAACAGGGTAGTTTTATTTCTAAGCCTAATATAAGATAAAATTTTACAATACCATAAGTTTCATTTCTTACTTATATACGCGCAAATACACTGTTAAAAACGAGAGTACGGATTAACTATATTGTTATTACAGCTTTATTATTTATAATATAAACTACAAAAGATATAAAACTTACGTACTAACTTATAAATAAAAGAGGGCCCTATTGCTTAAGCTAAGCAGCGATCTCTTCCAGGCAACCTAAAGTACAAGAGAAAAGATATAAAAAAAGGGCTTATTAAGTGGGTGTAAGAAATAATAAACAAAAAAAGTAGCGAGAGAGTTCCAAAGGTTGATAGTTTTAACGGTGACAGAATGATTAAAGAAAGAGGTTAAATGTTTAGGAATAAATAAGAGAAGATTATCGATATATCGGAAATTTAACTGGTGAGAACTCAAAAGGACGAAATTCTCTTTTAAGTAAGAAGGAGTTTTGGAATATATGATAATATTTTTCCACTTTTCTTTAAGTTAAATACTCGCAAATAAATTCGTTTCGATCTCGAGATACTCGAATCTCAAGATACTTATTGAAATTATTTGAAAAAAAAAATCTATGTAATAAAAGCACCAAACGGCCTACGTTCTGGAAATCTTCAGAGTGACCAAATTAGTACCCCTATAACTACTACTATATTGATATACAACAACATTTTATGGCTGTTTAAGAACAAAAGAAATTCTTACTTAGTTAATTAAGCCAAAATAATATTGATTAAAATTGCCTTGATCGAAATCGAACGAATTTAAAAACGCTTCCAGCGTTACTTTGAACTCGTGAAATATTATTGTACGTCGGTCATTTAAAAGAATTACGCCCTCCCCAACAAAAGAAGCCGAAGGAAGGGCCGCGATGTCAAAAGTGCAAATTCGTAAACGAAAATTGAATTTCAAAACAAACGGAGCTTCGGGAAACGTCCTAACGTACTTTAACTATATTATCCGCGACTTCGAGTCACATTAAATTCTTTATTCATTTTTATTCCTGCGGCCTCACGGGTGGAATTCCTACGATGTCTTTGATCTGAGTCAAACAGGAAAAAATATGGACGAAAATGCACTTCAGCCGGTCTTTATAAAAGGGGAAAAATATAATTTATTCACGAGATAATTTTCTCCTCCCTTTAAGGAGATGCCGGGTCGGGGCGGAACGAATGAATGTTTGTACTCCTAATGGTGCACTTTGACCCGTCTTATTTTGCTAGATTTCCATTTTATAGTTGCCGTATTGTACTAAGTGTTCCTGGGTTTTATGAATTGAGGACGACGCGAAGATGGGTGGCCGGGGCTTTGATAAATTGTTGAAAAGGCAAACGTTTTCATTCATTTTGCCGATGTTATTTAAGCTTACTTTTCATATAACCATTAAACCATTATAATTGATCTTTACCAACATTTCTAGACAAGTGAAAACAAATATATATTTTTACACATGATGGCACTTCATAACTTAAAAATCGATTTTTAATTTGTTAATATATTTTTATATATATGTTATATATCTATTGTGTAATATACATTGAACAATGTTTTTGCAGCATGTTTGCAAAGCTACTCGGGTTCTCGAAGTTGAAGAGGCCGCAACGTCATCTGATGACGTCATCCACTTGTGATGGTAAAATTTCAGGCCATACCTCAATTTACTTATAACTATTGCCTTGTAATAATTTGCGGGTAAAGTCATAACTAAAACTATGAATGAATTTACCACGATCTTTATCCTTGATTGTTCTGCAGCCATAACGCAAATTGTCCTGAAATATACACTACTAAAAGCTTTTTATTTCAGTAAATGGTCCGTTTATGAGCTATTTTCTCTGAAGTGCGGAGGACTAACAATATTACTTTCATGAATAACAATGTTTAAAGTCGTTTTCGAGTTTTTACTGTTTTCTATTTGCATAATTATTTTTATAAGTGTGTTTCATATTGTCTGTTGGCAGGCCAGAGGGCGCTATTGTTCATGGACACAAAGCCAGCTTGAATAAAATAAGAGAAACAGTAGATGTATTACTATAACATTTTGAAAAATCTATATGTATTACTCGGCCGATAAGGAACGTGTTTTGCTGCCATGGAAATAAATAATAAACTATGATGAACATGATAAACAATATGACGTTTAAATAAACAATTTAACGGTTTAAACGCGATAAAATTTAGTTAAATTATTTTTAACTTCGGCCCGACGTTTCGGATACTTTGCAGCCGGCGTGGTCACGGGGAGTCTCCCCCGTTTAAACCATCAAAGTGCTTTATTTGAATGTATACTACTCGCGTAAACTAGAAACAGTATTTAACAATTTAAAAATTAGACGCCATACGTCTATTTTTTTCCAGCTATACGGTGATTTTTTTTAATATAAATTAGGATCATTAAATCTTATTACGCAAGTGTTAGGGTTGAAATTAAATTGCGCGAGAGGTGCATGTATCAATGGGTTAAAAGTATTCGACGGTAACGTGTAGGACACGGTAGCTCAATTGATAAGGCCTACAGCACGGAACGCTGTGGATAACCGCTACAAGTCCTGACCGTGCATTCAATTTTTTTAATGTAAACTCAATTTCTAATTTAAAGTAGGGTCAATGTTGATCTCTCTAATCTTATTTTGAAGCATTTAAAACGCTAGTTACCCCATTTAGGGGCGACCTCGTCACGATAAGCGTCCTAATAACGGATACGACCTGCTTCGAGGGCCAGATTTAAATTAAAATCGTCTCTTTGATGAAATTGTGAGCCATTCAGTATATTGGGCTTCGAGCGGGTTGTGAATAATTGAAGAAATTTTATATTCGGATGCCTTTCGTCCTCTGTTATTGAGTTAGACGCGATGAAGGCGCGCAGAATTGCTTCGGCTAATGAAAAAATCTGAAATGAAACGTTGCGGTTCTTTAATTTATCGTTCGAAATATATCTCTAATTTTACCTTCTTGGGAATTGTAAGTGCCAAGCAATTTCAAATGATTGCCAATAGATGAATACCTTGGCTTTAAATAATAATTAAAAGTCGACTTTCCCATAGACAAAGACTAAATAACTTTAGAATAA